GGTACCGTTATGTGAGTGGTCTTCTCTATTGTTACGGGCAAACGTAACAAAAACCGACATTTTGTATGCACATAGCAGCCCCTTGTTGATCTAAACTTGTTTCAATCCAACCAATGCATAAATGTGGAAGTTCTTAGACCTTAGGGAAACTCTCGATAAACTTTAACCAGTTTTAAAGTTAGCAGTCAAGTTCGGGTGTTTCTGTCACCCTTAAATACGATATGAACACAAGTTTGAATTTGAGCGCATTTATTTTGATCCTGCAACTTAAGCCAATGTTGTAAGACCGGAATATTGAAGATCATTCGATTTGCCTAACAACTGTGTGTTAAAATAAGAGACATGACAGTTTTGTAACTGACATCTTTTATTTGCGCTTGTATTTTTTTAAAGCATTCACAAGCAGAGTCCTGATTAGTCAACGATGTGTTCGTTCACAGAATGATGTCAAACTTTTTTAACAAACTGAACACTATAGCGAGTTGAGCATTGTTACTGGAATTTAATCGCAGTAATGGGCTAATGCAACGATGTTTAACGTTACTACTCTAACCATTTTTGCTGACTTTTCAATTCATTATTAAATTTTGATTTTTCTACTTTCTCGTCAGGTCAATCCATCCAGAATAATAATTTAGAACAGCTGATGATAAGGGTGACGAGCCAAAAATTGTAGTGAAGTGGATGATTGACTTTTAAAACTGATTCTACAAATATCAGAATCAACGTCAGTGGCTATGTCTTTAATATCCATAATATTTAGAGGTTGCTGTAGTGAGTTTCGACATGAATTTAGGTCAAATGTTGCTTACAATGAATAAAACTATTGAATATTTTTGCGTATTAATTAAAAATTATGTAAATGCTTAAAATGGATCTGAGAATGTCTTTATATGTTTGCAAAATTATATTATTGACCACCAAATTTAGAAACCTTGAAAATCGTTTAAGCTAATTCAAATGTATCTAAATGCAAATGTGGAAAATTATAATATAAAATGCCAATGATCTGCATAAGTTTAAGTGAGAAACGAGATACTTTTTCGTTTTTTTTTCAAGCTGCGTAATGTTTTACATCTCGTTCCAACGACAAATTTCGTACACACCGATTTAACTTGAAACTTCGGGTCTTCCATGCGTGTTTTTGACAGTCATAGTAGTTGTCATTTCTTTACAATTGGCAACTACCATTCCATGCATAAGTATTAAGATTTTCTTGCAGGGCAAGTACGTCTGCCATGGAACCTTCGTGTGATATAAGTGTAGCTTTGAATCTAGTAGTGATCACTGAAAATCATATGTACTTGCCAAGCTTGTCTTTTATTGTTTTAGGGCTTTGAATTTATTATTATGACAGCAAAGTGGATACTTCGATTGCGGGAGAAGCGTCAGAAGAAAAAAGAAGCGAGATTACAAAAAAGGAAATTGAAGGAAACAGACGAGACTCGTTCAGAGGAGGTAACTAGTTCTGAAGAAGAATCCAGTTCTGACGAAGACAGCAGTTCTGATGAGGATTCCACTTCCGAAAGTTCAAGCTCAGAATCCGAGAATTGACTTATCAAAAGAAATGACAGTCAGGGAAGAAAGTGAGAATGGCCCTTGCCAAATCTACAAACTATCATCGTTTGATTTCATTAAATTTTAATTTGTTATCTGTGAGAAGTTGTTTTTTTTTGGCTGTCTCGCACAATCTCCACTAAAGTAAATTGCGCTTTTTTCTAAAACCTTCTATTCTTTTTTGCACTAAGCAATTATGCTACAATGTGTACCAGGAAAGCCTTGTTGACGATTTTAACTAAAGGGTACAAATTGGGCGCATATAGTTTGCCTATACGGACCCGAATTTAAGGACGAGGAATTCAGAATAAAATCTCGCAAACTGAACGTTTGGAATAAATGACAACTCTTATAACTTTTGCATCAACTAGACGTATTTGAGACAGGGGAATATCGTGTAATTACTAGTATTGTCATGTCAAACAAATTAACACGTGTTTGTGTGTTGAGAAAGCTGAAGTGTGTACTTGTGTGAGTGGGATATCAACAGGAACGGTTCTTGTCTACTTTATTAAGAAGACAAACTTTGGTGGTGAGTTTGGACAACGCTGGCAATAGGAGTAATTCAGTAGTTATCTTTGCAATTCAAGTCGCAATCTCATTGGTCAAGTTTGCTGCGGAATGTGTCAGATTTTTCGCATAATGCCACACCTAGGATTGGCATCAATAGTGATGTCCAAGGCGCTACTTATCATTAATTCGTTGCTGCTTAAACGGGTGTAGGCCAAACCATTCTGCTAACTCATATAGGAATTCATTTGGACTTGAGGCGATGTTAATTAGCTGAGACCATTAACGTCTAGTGTGATATTTTTGATGTTCCCAGAATTTAAACCTCGTTAGGTTTGTTGAAACGTCAGTTGTGGACTGAATGCAACGGAAGCTGTTGCCATATTAACCCACTAGATTCTGCCTACTTCAGATTAATTGCTTTTGAAGTGTCCACATAGCATCGACGACGAATTCACTAGAAGGTGGTCTTTACGTTGAAAAATTGTGTGCGTGTCTGACCTCATCCTACATAATGGAATCGGGATGTAACCAAACGACCAATAAATCTAGACTCTACGTCAATGGTTGGCTGCCTCGAGATTGTAACGCCATTCCATAGTACCAAC